ATTGGTCTGTTGTTTCTTGGAGGGGGGAGGTATGTATCTTATGGTAGTCACATGGCTATCCATATGGCTATTGGTCTGTTGTTTCTTGGAGGGGGAGGTATATATCTTATGGTAGTATATATTTGCCTATTTCAGGTACACGTTAAGCTCATCTGGTCCTGCTATTGCTGCTCTGGTTTGTGCTCTGTATCCAAAGTTTCCCATATCAAGTACTGACAACAGGTTCGTAGATTTTAAGCATGGTTATATTAATTGCACCTTTTTTTTACTCGTTCTTAACGTTTTCCCATTTCAGACCACGTTTCATCCCCTTGGGAATGGTACATTTTTATGTTTGAGGGACATCAGTATTAGCCACGTGTAACTGGTAAACAAAGAAATTATGGTTGAGAATGACACAGGGTCTGAAATGTGAATATATTAAGCCCAAGCTAAACAGGTCTTCATATGCATGTGCTATAGATAGTGCAGTTTTCGTATGACTGTGAAAAGCTCAGTGCCGTGCCGTGACCTTGATGTTTTCTAGAATTTTAATTGGGTGATTTTTTTATTGCGCAATGTGATTGGTCTTAAAGTGCCGTGACTTTGGCGTGACCGTGTCCGCGCCGTGTTTATGCCGTGTTCTGGGTATTTGATTGGATGGAGAGTGAATTCTCGAGCAATGTGATTGGTCTGGCGTATCCCTTGCCGTGTCAAGAACGTGTTCGTGCCGTGAGCTTTTCACAGTCATGCGAAAACTGCTCTATATCCTTCTATCAATTACCACTGCCTACTCCTTTCCTGTGTGTATTTGCCTCCACGTGCATACATTCCATCTCTGCGTATCTTTTCTGTATGTGTGCATTGCAATAGGGAAATCCATGATTCCACGACATTATCTATCGTTCATTATCAGGTATCACCTTCAAGCATTTCGTCACCTGTATGTACTTGCTGCTGAACCTCGTGTTATTGTAACAAGAGAATTCGATAGTAAGGGTGCTTGTTACGTACCCATAGACGTTACACTAAAGGTAAATTGTCTAACAATGTGCAAAACCGTACAATGCATATGAAAATTGGCGTGAAATTGTGATGATTAGAAACCTCCTCTTGGCTTTTAGCATAACGTTCTTGCTAGGTACCTCAAACTGCAGTCCGACGTTAGGCATTTTCCTTCAAACTTTCGATCTTTAGCAAGGCGTCATAACGAAGTTATTGCTGGAAGAGCCGCCATATTAAATTTCATTGATGCTGAGTGTTTTTACGTGTTTGCGGGCGTGTTTTTGGGCATGATCCCTAGCAGTTTACGGTAAACGTGATGCTAAAGGTCTCTAATGTCTTCCTGTATTGTACCTCTAACAGACCATTCGTTATTGTATAGAGTACTGTCCATTACCCAGAGACTGTCTCTGTATTGTACCTCTAACTAACAGACCATTCGTTATTGTATAGAGTACTGTCCATTACCCAGAGACTGT